CTTTTGCTCCCGTCCAAAGAACGGGTGCTCTTAAATATGAGAAAGAGTATGTCCTGCTTGCAGTGAACATAGTTCTACAATAACGTACAGAATTTTGAATAAACATGGTAGGACAAAGAGAATATCTTGTCCTTCCAGTAGGACAGTGTACAATTAAATGTAAACGGAAGCTTTGTGTTATGGTTTAAAGCGTTCAAATGCGAATTAACAAACGAAAAATATATAGAATTTTTCAGGGGATATTTAGACGCGTGGCACGGTAATGATCCTATATTTGGATTGGTTTATTCGTATACGGCAACGTGACACATGGGCGATCTGCCAGAAGGGATGCCTCCTGGAAAGATATGGGAAACTGGCCCTATTGAGGTGTTGCTAACGTGAAGAAAACCCGAAAAATCCACGTGGCCGGAACATTGGCCTGGCGCGAATTCATGACCGACTATCGGTGTTCGGTGGTTTTATTCACTCGACTACTGGTGTGGGCCCCTTTATTTCAATATTTGGAACCCAAATATCTTAAGTGTTAATTAATCCTTATATTTTTATGCTTAATTTTATAATACGTCATTTTTTAGTTTTGGTATTGACAATCGTAGTACGGCAAGGACCGAATTTGGGCCTAGAAAAACTAGGCAATTGCCTAGAATTCGGATTTATGAATTCAAATAAGACACGGCTTAGGGCTTCATTTTAAATATTTTGTTTCTTTTTTGAAAAGGCACCTTCAGTGTTTTGGCTTAGGGATTATCGTATACATAAATCCGGTCTTTATCTCGCGTGACGCAATCACTACCGCATAATTACGTCAGTTAACGTGTTGCATTTAGAGAGTAATCTGTTCTGTCAGTTCATAAATACAAACTATGAAGGCAATATTCAAATTTAAAACAATTGTGCTGCTCGTTAATACTATTTTAGTTTTCCGGCTTTTACATATAACAGGAAAAGTATGACCATCGGTCAAAAAATGACCCTCTCCTCCCAATATTTTACATCTTTGGGCTGAGGAAACCTCGAAACGTCGAGAAATGCAAAAATTCGGGTTTTTTTTCTGTATGTATGGACGTTTGTGTGGGGAAACAATTTTGTTACCCTCTTTGAAGCTTAATAACTGCCGTGGTTTTGTCGAAGATTTCTAAAATTTTGTGTATTAGGGGCATCGATGCTATTAAATTTAGGTGAATAAAGGTCGAGGGAGTGAGAAAATAGAGGAGTGACGTGTCGTATCTCGAGTGGAATCGGACTTAATGAAGATTTTACTGGTTAGCGTTTTACAATACATTATAAAACTCGTCTTTACCTCAAAATCAAGCTTTTTGCCATTTTATAATAATTGTTAACTTAACGTAAAAGGGTTTTAAAACGAAATATCTCAACAAACGGCGCCACACGCAATTTTAAATTTTTTGCCGTGAAAGTTACGCAACTCGTTGCTGCATTTTTTAAAAACATAAACAATAATTTTACATATAACTAATAAGGTGCGAAAACAATAATTTATTTTGATTTTGCATTTTATGCAGAAATTACGGTTGAAATAATGAGGCAACGATGTAGTTTGATGATGTTTAAATGTATTCGAGGGTACTGCATTTTCGTTACTCGAGTCGATCACGCCAATACATTTATCATTCATTGCATATTTAATTATCAAGAGACAAAATTCGTGATATTATCATTCATTAAACAAGTAAATACTGCACCCGAAGTGATATAATCCCGGTGTTCTACACCAATTCGAAGTATTCGACCGTATCACGTGGTATTACGTTTAATGTACTAATTTATCAATTTAAGCTGTAATTATACACAGTACGAACTATTGAAATTGTGTACTAGAACCCACTTGGAAAAGTATTCGTAACAGCGAAACGAGGTCTCCAACTGTTAAGTAATACAAGAAAATTAGAGATTTTGTGTGCGAAAATTTAATAGTCTCTGTCGCTTTTTATGCGCGTAACTAAGTCAAGATAGTTTTTGAATTGGATTGATTAGGCGTCACTCGAAGAAACCACCGTGAAGCTAAGAAGTAGCCAAGTACAGATGTGTCAGAAGTACTTATTTTAACATATTAACCGCGCCTTTCGTTTTATATTTTTGTAAGACCGCAACGTATTATTTGTTAATATAAGGACGACGACAAGCGGCCTAAACCATTCGATCTTTGAATTTTCATCCAGTAGGAAGAACGTGCAAAGAACAGACCGCCTAAATCTGAAAGGGCTAATGATGATGATAAATATTTAAACTACTCGGAGATTGTTCTCTTTTCAACTTAAAAACAAAATATGATAACCGTTTAACTCAATTTTACTCTTACAAGCTTTTCACCTTTCGGCTGTGTTAAATTCTAGGTTCCTGACGCGGAATTTAATGCAAAGAATCAAAATTCGAAACTAAATCTAAAATCGTAGTCCATAAAATCTACATAAAAAGGTTATATTTTATTTTAAATTTGGGAAAACCACTTTCTCGTTAAACACCACGAATATAGAAAAATTGAAGATTCATATATGTTCCTATAAGTCGAATAACTTGCAGTTTAGGGTCTCATATTTTCACGCGTGTCATTATTTGATGATAGAAAGGGCCTGTTATGTTTCGGGTTAGAGCCGTAAGTCCGGCCCTTAACTCTCTGTGCAACTGACACGGGAATCAAATTGACAATACTTGTTTCGCGGGAATAAACAAATATTTATGACAGCAAAATTGATATGACGATATGCATATTACAACTACCGATATTGTTTTCTCAGTCTGCATGACTTAAGTATAGTTCTATACGTACTGTACGTATAGAACATTATCGCGGAGTAACACGGAGAAAGTCGATACTCGAACTGTAATTTTTTTATTATTATTAAAGAGTATATGGGTGTGCAAAGAGTATTATAGAGCATTTTCTAAAGGAAATGCTCTATAATAGGAAATGCTCCAAAGAGCATTTCCTTTAGAATTTATAACCATTAAAATGTGTCAATGTTGTATTGGAAATAATAAAAGATTCGGCTAAACAACATTTCGTCAACGGGTATCAAGAAGTAAAAAAATATTCTTCCTATGCTAATCTCCTTTTAAATTACGACGGCCGGGTAGAGGTCATTTCCGAAATAAAAAAAATCCAGTTTGGCCTCTAATCGCGAATATCCGACGTGCCAACGTTTTAGTGTTTTAGGAATACTTTGTCTATAATATTGAACACACAAAGTATTTAAATGAGGCGAATTTCGAGGAGAGAATATAAAAAACTTAAGTTCTGACTAGATTTACACACTTGATATTAAAATTAAACACGAAGTAGGTCTCGGAGAAGCGACCCGTAAAGAATGACCTTTATAAGTCGGTTTTAGAAGGCGCAAGCTCCCTAATTGCGTCATTAATTGGACGACTCGACCGTTTCGTCACGGATTACAACTTTGATTTCCAGATTTACTTGTCAACGTATATGTCGACTCGCATACAACAAATAACTTCGATCCTGTAGGCCTACACGCGATTACGTTACGCGGGAAAAAGTATTCCGTTACATTGGCATTAAGGCCGAGTTACGATGGTAGAAAGCTTAAACGAGAGCAGAAACAATGTTTCCATAATTTAAACATAATTATTCGAACTGCGGCATTCCATGTAGTCGTCGTCTACATTAGTAATGCAGTTACTCGAATAACAAAAGACCTATTTACTGTAATGTGTAAAAGGCGTAATTAAAAAGGCCTCTTGTTAATGACATTTGTTTGTAATTGCAGCAAGTAGGCGGGTTGTCACCACGTTCCTTTATTAGCAGACCTCTCATTAACTTACAGTAGTTGTTTTATTTATATAAATTCATTTATTAGGAAAACTCGAGGAAAGAATATATTCTTGTATCCATAAATCATTTATTACACAGTGGCGCTTTTTATTACGTTTCATGTATGGCCTCGGGGTAACAAAAATGTTAAAAAATAATTAATACACGGGTATTTTTGTAACAATGAAGTAATCTCTCTTCTTTATTCTAGAAACATCCCCAGATTTATTTTTACTTTCCCGGCTGTTATACGTAACAGAGAGAAAGTATAACGATCGGTGAAAAACGACCCCATGAATTTTACTTTTTTGGGCTCAGACATGTTGAAACGTCTAGAAATGCAAAATAAATTCGGGGTTTTTTCTGTATGTATGGATGTTAGTGTGTGGGGGACACGATTTTGTTCACTCTCTTTGAAGCTTAATGACTCCTGCGCTTTTTGTCGAAATTTTCTGAAATTTTACAGGGAAGTTTGTTTATTAAGGGATCGATGCTATTTAATTTTCATGATTAAAGGTCGAGGGAGTGAGGAGATAAAGGGGGTCGTGTGTATCTCCAATACTGTCGGACTTACTGTAATGACGATTTTACTCGTTATTGGCACTTAGAATTTTTTTTATAAAACCCGTCTCCTTCCTCAAAATTAAGCTTTTTGCAGTTTTATAATACAATATTTAAAAATATAAAAGTTCTTTAAATAAAATATCGTAACGGATGAGGCCGGCGAACGTTGCCGGGAAAGTTAAGCAACTGGTTGCTGAATTTTTTAATTATAAATCTTTGAACCTGCCCTTTATTATTATATGGATTTATTAATAAATGGGTTGGTACCAATCAGATTTATCCATTCACCAAATTAATTGAGATAATAAATACAAGAAATAGTTTCCTGCAAATAAGATATGTTCTAGCGCATAATTTGTTCTTTATAAATCCGGTTTTTTCACGAAGAAAAGAAAGTTCTTCCTGAATTAAAAATAGATGTATAGCAGCTAATTGCGAATCAACGACGAAAAATGACACAAAACTTCACACACAATTGGTAAATTTGCCTGTTTTAAGGCAAAATCGAACTGGGATTTTTCAAATTACGAGAAGTTTACTCGACATATAGGTAATTCTTTTCTTTAACCCGTTCGGTAAAGAAGGTCGATGACACGCCGTTTATAAAATAGCCTACAGTATAAAGGAGTTAAATGTGACTTACCTAACGTGTGAACCTCCGTGTTGACGGATAATTTTTGTCTTATGTAACACAGTTTGTACAAGTAAAGTCCTATGAGTAATCTCGTGAAATACGCGACTTCTACTGTTGCGTAAAACAATAAAGTTAACAAAAGAAGTCCGATGATTACGTAGAGTATATTTGTGTCCATCTTTCCACTTCGACAATCGACACTAAACTAAAACAGGTTTCTCCATTGAGGTAGTCGAATAAATTTCGCTCCGGCGCGATTGGTCGCGCGGTGACTCTAAAAAACTGTACCCCTTCGATCACGTGACTCCATCATCGTCAATAATTTATTTTTTAATTCGTCGAAGGAGTAATTTTCTTCGAAAAATGCTCGCCACTCGCTACCGATATCGACTGCAGCTTCGGAATTTTCCTGGTAGCGGCACGTGGAATAATTTGGAATGCATCGTCGATTTTCGGATTAGATTTTCTGAAGGAAATCACGTGATTGCAGGAAATCTTTTGTTGGCTCTAGGTTTTTCAAGTCTGTTTATTGTATTCTTCACGTGTAGAATTTCCTCGTCAGATAGGCTTTTAAAATTTAATAAGAAAAGTTTCTTGCCTAAATACGGGCGATTGAAGATCAGGATGAAATCTATCCCCTTTTTTATGAGTTACACTTCACTTTTTGATACGAGATACACTACAAACTGATCACATTCTACTTGCGCTTCGTGCAAGTAGAATGTGATCAGTTTAACGAATTTCCCTTCCGTACATAACATCAAATACTAAGAGTAATTATTTTAATTACAAATAAATCTTTGGACAGTTAATTAGCAAATTTCTCGCAACAATTACGCCACTAAATACCCGATATCTTCTTGTGTGTAAAGAGAATTACACAAAGCCGATTAACGTGTAGAATATATTTTTATTTCTAACCTAGATTCTCGATTTTTTATAAATTAAGAAATTGGGTTATAGAATATAAATAAATGTAAAGTTTATAGGCGACGAATAACTCTGTCGTCACTTTTCTCCCGTTATTTTGAAAATGACATTAAATTATCATCCTTGATTTGAATGTTGACCTAATGTACTGTACGCCATTAAATTTAGTGTACAACGTTATCAATTTTCGCAAACAGTAATTCATTATAACGTGTTACGTGTAATTGAAGGTTACTATGCAAAATTTTATTTCATGAAATGATAAAATATTTGTTCTCCTTTTATTTAATTACTATTTAAAATATATACCGTTTGTTTACAGAGCTATGTAAATATTGCAAAACGATGACGCAGAAAATTTTTTCTATTGTTTGGAAAAAAATAAGTACAGTACAAGTATGGTCACGTGGATCTTTCACAATTATCTTTTATGCTAAATTATAAACTGAACTTACGGGAAGTTGTCGAGTGGCGTTAGGAGTCTTGCGTTTTCTATTTTCGAACATGTATTATGTATGTTTTAAATACACTGTAGTATACACAAAAAATATATAGGCTAATTAAACAATAGAATTTTAATACTTTTAAAATACAATCAAACTCGCAATTACAATCACTAGTAAAGGGCGGCAACATCGAACGAAAATTTATATAAAATTATCTCCAAATAACTGCAATTTTGAAATGTTTCTGTCATGGCCGCTGTTCGCAAGTTTGACTGCAAGTTGAAAAATGTGGTGTAAGTCTTGTAAATTCTTTAGACATCTTGTGACGAAATTCACTTCAACTATTTCACGGCTTTCCCCTAAAAAGACAATTTTAACATTTAACGACAGTTGTGAAAGATTGACGTGACGGCACCGGCTTTAAGATAACCTCAAACAATTGAAATTTATTGTCTGCTGCATTGTTTTGTAATATTTACAGAAGTTTTTACTTGGAAGTAAAGAGTAAAAATATTCAATTTTTTCATCATTTAAAAGCGTAGTTTTAAAAGAGAAATTAAAGTCATACGTAAAACAGGTAGGTAAACACTAAGGTCGTATAATTAGGTTATGTCACATTTCGCTTCATAATGGAGCTATTGGCATTTCTGTACATTATCACAATAACTCATTAATTCCAACTACACTCGACCTTCTTGTAGTCTTTATGCTACAGGATTTGCCTTTTTATATTTATCATAAATATAAATGTCAATTTTTTTAAAAATAAGACTGATTTTATTTACTACATTTTTAAATGAATGTGGCTTTTTAATTTTTACATTAAATGATAATATAATTTTTAATTAATAAAAATGAAATTTAACAGCGCGACAGTGAGTTTTTTTTTATCAGCTATACGTATGCCATTCTTACCGGTATCCAATGAATTATCATCCCTTTGTTGAGCCAAGCTGATTTAAATTACTTGCCAAAACTTGCAAATTTACAGACTGGAAGGTTGAAACACTTAGTTTGATGATGATGCTAAAGAAGAGCGAGTGTCCAGCGAAATTCGCTGTATTTTTCTCTTAGCTCGTCGTAAGATAACTGCTCGAACTATGGTTTCTCCAACGGGATGTTTTTTAATCCGGGAAATCCCGCAAATTCCCGCTTACGAATTCACTTTTTTCTTATTTTGTATTAAAGTCGAGGAAATTTTGCAAATAGAAAGTACCTGTATAATTATTAACCCAAAAATTGTCAGAATACATTTATATTTATTAATTTTAAGCCCGCTTAAAATTTTGCTTATTACGGCACGTTGCAGATTGTCAATACGTAGCTTATTTGTGACGGGACTCGGAAAATCCTTTACCCGTAATATCTGGAATAATTGCGCTTGTATTGTCATAATTTTTAACCACGCACGGTAGCTTCAATAACTGCATTATGCCAGATTGTGCGAATTAGGCAAGGATGAAGTTTTTCTTTATAAATCCGATTATTAAAGCCAGACGAACTGCCGAATTATCGGGCTGTAAGCTGGTTGCCTCTATTAAAGCGGCCGAGGTAGACAAATCGAGAATACTAGAGACCAAAAGAAGTACTACAACGCATTTCGAAAACCATCTAGAAATTTTCCAGACTACAGGTGAAGCACATAACGTCTGTCTTCTCTTAAATGCATTAAAGACGATTTCACTCGCATCAATTGAATGGAAAAAGGCATTCTCGGTAGCGGGACTTTTCGATACTAAAATAAAAATCGGATCGAATGATTGGGGTATCGACCATCTTTGCTTTCAAAATCTTAATACGAAATATTTTTGTAATATGTTTTATTTAAATAACGAAAATTATCTTGCGAGAAGTTTAATCAAAGTTTATTTTTTTCTTTAAATTTTCATCTCAATTCGAAGGCATTTTTGTTGCAAGCGGTATCAAACAAACTAATAATTTTTTCTATTTGTGAAAATTTCTACGTAATTCAAAAGTAACTTTTTATACATATTTTGCGCAGCATTATTAATATTATTAATATTTTGGAGGTCGCGGACGTATTAAGTTACTTAAAAGTGAAAAATAATTATATTATTTGATTTTAAGATTTATTTTACATCTGAAAAATAATTAATTATATCCCAGGAAACAGTTCACCGGGACAAGCGAAAGACCGGGAAATGAGAAACCCTTGCTCGAACATTGCATGCCGTGTAACTCAAACACTAAAAAGAGCGAATACACAGCTTTGGAGAATTTAATCTGTTGAATTCTTGGCTTGTCTTTCGCAATGCTATAGTATTTGAAGCTCGAAATAACCAGACATCCTAGGCCCCAGTTTTTTATTATTACTTCTTGGACACTGCAATGTTTCTTCATTTTCTCCGCTTAAGGTGTAGCGTTGAAATTATCACTTTTTTCTAGCCATTCAATCTTGAAAGTAATAAATACGGATAAGTGCGTTTAAGGATATTTATTTCATTTCTATAAACGTCTTCTGTATTATGATAGGTAGACCGTAGACGTGATGTGCATTCTTCCATCAAGTTGCGCATCACATTTAACTGAAATTGTTTATGCTTTCATTCATTTATTTTTCTGCCAGATATTGACTTCTTCTCCCGTTCAGTTTTAATTCCGCCAGCAATGTTTTTGTACACCTGGAGTCTTTTATTTCTAATTTATAGTTTGCGTGTTAACTATCGTACGTAGTTTCATATCTTTCATATTCGAAAATCAAATACTGTATTTCGTTGAGGAAACACATCGAATAAACACGCTTTCCGCCATCTCTGTATTGACCGATAAAAGTTCTTTTATAAAGGAAATTGCGGTGGTTGACGCACCACTTAACTCGAGTGTTCGTTGATTATATAAAATAACCGAAGCTTATCGCACCGTGGAAGTTTATTTACAATCGTGTACAAGATTTTCTTTTACACTTATTGAGTAAATCTCGATAGGTTACAAACATGCACTCGTCGTGCGTAGCGTAGCCGAGAGACGGAAAAGACAAATATGGCGGACGGCCTGCACGTGTTTTTTTACCGTCGCGCCAGCGCCACCTGGATTTTCGGTGAAGCTCTAGGTTACAATTATTCGGCCACTACAGAAATATTTTATAAAATATGGTCTATTACTCTGTCAAATATTTTTTGAACGATCTTTTATAGTGTAATGTTACGTCGTATAAGTTACAGAGGGCTCGTTCGGTGATGTCACAACAAATTCGAAAAGTGTTAGGTAGATGACCGGCACGACTCGATTGTTAAAAGAAAGCTCTATTGTTAATGCGCAGGGACTTTCTTTCGATGTACCGCAAAATTGCGCACTAGACGTTAAGCAATTTTTAAAATTTAAAAACGTTTCATAATCGGTTTCCTTCGGTATAAATCGGAATTTTTCCATTTTTTCCCGAAGAAGGTCGATTAAATGACCAAAAATGTTACGTGCTGTAATAAAAAGACTGCATTTTAAAGGTTTTAGTGATTTATTTATTTATGTGTAAGTGCAGTTACAGAAGAGTGTATAGATGTAAACGAATTCTATTCACTGTTCGATTCTGACGATGGCTAAACAGATGCTCGAAAGCGTTAGATAAAATTAAAAATAGTTGCGGGAATAGGGTTTTTGTCTTTAATTTACAACAATCCAGTTAAAGCTCAATATATGAAATAAAAGAATTGGACGTGAAAAAATGTTATCGTTTATACAAAGACTTCAATTGATTTATTTCGATTCTAAGAAGAAATACAAGTCTGAAAAGTTTTTACGGGGGGAGTCATTGAGACGACGGACAAGTCCTAACATAAGCACTTTACCACTATAGTGAAGCGTGCTAGAAACCTCTGACAGTCACTTCTTTCGCACGTTGCTAAGAAATAGCTCGGGATAAACCACGCTTTACGTAGACAAAACTGCTTTTTACGCTAAAGTAAATCTTTCTTCATTTAAATAATTTACTGAAAATTAAGTATGATTGTGATTATAAATGATTGAAACGTTCTTTCAACGTAATAAAATTACACAGCCAAGTGAAGAGAATTTCTAAAGCATTCCGATGTACCTTCTTTGCAACCAAATACCTTATAACTTGAGTATTTTAGGAAAATATATCTGTCTGTAACTGTCCTTGCGCCTTTGAACTTTGAACACTTAAATATACAAAATCCGAGTATTCTCAGCAAACGAATGAATATAAACCAGAATCAAGACTCACTACCGGTTTGAATTTTGAAATAATTGTATGATCAGGATACACGAGAGGAATTAAGAGGAAAATTCGTTACTTCCCGTTTGCGAGATATGTTGAGAGCTTCGAGAAAATAATTATTAACGGACCAAGTTGACGATTTGATACCAATATAAAGAGTCATTTTATGGAAGACGTAGCGTATCAAGAAGAATGGCAAATAACATACGTACTTTTACTCTATCTAAAATTTGTTTTTTAGTCTGTCAATTTCCACAACTAGGCCTACTTGATTCCAAGAATATAAACAAAATTAATATTTCATTCAGGTCCTTTTTTGTAATTTAAATGCTGTCTTTTGAAAACAGTTATATATTTTTACAACTTATGTCTAACACGTAGCAAAATTTCTCACTGACTTATTGTTAGAAGTCGGTGATAAATTTTATTTCAACGTTTTAACATGTGCTAGTCACATACTCTTTCATCCCTCTTTCAGAAAAAAAATCCCACTTGATTTCATGGTTTTCTGGATTAGGTATTATTCAAATTATAATATACTTGAATAAAGTATTCAAATTTTATTTTATGAATTTGCTTAAAAAGTTGAATTAAGCAAAATATGGATAGTTTTATTTAGTTAAATTAAATTTATTATGGGACAGGCTCGCTTAAGATGATATGGACATCAGTCGCAAAAACGGCCACGCAACTGAACCTAGAAGGGCGCCGCCCACGCGGAAGGCCCAAGAAACGACTGATGGATACCATCAGGGAGGACACGCGCATTGCCAGTCTCAACCCAGAAGATGCTTTTTAATGGTAAACAAAAAATTTTAATATTTTTGATAAATCGTCGGTTAAGTTTCAGCCATTACAGACGGGCTCATCCGAAAATTTGGATGATCTTGGACGAGAAAACGGGATTATGGTGCCTCTATCCGGCTGCTAGAGATATATTTTTGTCTGTAGGGTATATTTTATGTGTCAGTCGTGGGGATCTGGCGTAAGTCACGGGTTCTTAATTGACACCAAATACTGGGTCTTCCAGAAATAATTACAATAATTTCAAATGATAGGATATGTTAATTATCATCAAAAACCGTTTTAACGTATATTAAAACATTGGAAAACTGTTCGAGTTTCGCAACGCGTGCATCTCGTATCAACCGATACAGTATTTAAATTCTTCCTGCGCACGCTGCAGCACATATCTCGGGACAGCTTCCGTAATTACTCGCGTTGCACTATGACGAATGATCCCGACTTTCCGAACTGCAGAACGCGAAACTCTCTCTCTATTGGCGAGTAAGATTTTCATTTACCGCGCTCCTTAGATGCAGTAGACATAAGACGCTTAAATGCGGATGGGGGATGACATTTGGACGGTTAGTCCGTCAATTGATGTCTCAAATAATAATTAACATAATAATAATGGCAGTATTTATTTTGGAAGACCCCGTACAATCCGTGCCATGCCGTCAAGTACCGAGTGCTGAAAAAGAAATTGTTGACGGGGTAACACGCACTTTATTTTGCCAAGCAGTGTAGCATATATCAATAGTATTTCTAATATGAAATAATTAATAAACTTAATCACATTGTATTATGATTAATTCAATTTATTGGACAGATTACTTAAACCGAGCAAACAGAAAGGGATAAAAGTCATTTCGTTTAGGCTGGACTGTCTAAAATCATAAAGATTTACGTAGCGGGAGGTTTATGCAGTTTGCGGACGTTTCCGACTGAAAACTAAGTGCCTTTCATCAAACATCGAGCTTCTTTCGCGGAAGGAAGGTGAAAAATCTAGGGAATCTGAACAATTCAACAATACTCTCTACTTACATTACAAAGAAATTCCCATAAATAATAAGTGGGGATTTCAAAGTGTCAAACGTTAGGCATTCATAATTTAAACGAGGAATTATTTATTGTGACACGGCTACAATGCCGTGCTGCAGTTTTTAATTTTTTTAATTTAAAATATGTGCCCTCCACCTCAAATTAGTCCCTCGTTGTACGTCATACTTTTCAGTTAATAATGTAGTCGTGCCAATCACCTATTCAACTCCTTTCAGGGGAAAAGTCTTTAATTGAAATAACGTGACTTCCGGTTTACTTCGAAGTTCTCACGTAGTTAATCAGGGTCATCCGCTGATACGATTTCCATATGTGGTCTCGAATTACACTTGTCTATCATCGTTGTTGGGATTAAGGAAAGGCAGACGGACAGACGACAGTTTCAAATTGCAGCCCAAAAAATGTATGAAGTAGAAGAAAGATGTTTACCGTATCGGTTTTACCGGTAGGCTATATCAATTGTCACGACGTTAAATGAATTAAGTTCAATATTCAGCAGGTAGGTTTCAACGTACACCGACTACTAGGATGTCGTCGTCGGCACTGGCACCATCTGCTGAGCACGATTCAAACTATTTGTTAATGATCCGAACGTTCTACACTTTATAATAAACTACGTGGCGGGGATTAAAACACTTTCTACCCATTAATCGTACATGTTTATCTTCGGGTATAAAGGACAAAATTTCTGTTTTTACCTTAACTTCGTATAAAGAAAATTTTAATTTTTATATTAAAAAGGTCTCGAATATAAGCAAGAAATTTGAATTTATGTATTTTCATTGAATATTTACTTCTGTACTGTTTACGTTTTTCAGAGGTTGAAAATCGTAAATAAAAGCTCCCCACGTGTTTATCATCAGCAATTGCAATCCCACGCAGATGAAATTCAAAACAATTCCCGGTTTTACCTGAAACCGAGTATAAAATTAATTATATATTCAATTAGAGAAGAGATTCTAATTAAAAGCAAAATACCTACCAGATCGGAGGTTTTTAAATTTCCAGCCTGATAGACGATGGCGCAAGGAGGGTTACCCACAGGTAGCATGAAAGCGAAGGAAGTGGATATGGTTACGGGAAGCATCAAGTAAAGTGGATGCACGTCAACTGCTAGTGCCTATAACAATGTAAAATATGACAAGTATATTTTAAATAATCTAAAAATATTTGCGTGTAGTTTTACTAACCACATTATAAACGATAGGAAGCAGAATGGTGGCCATGGAAGTGTTGATGATGATTTCTGTGAAGAAGGAAGTCACCAGGCACAGGACGAAGACGATGACGACGGGAGAAAGTACATTCAAAGACGAAAGATTATTGGCAATCCAAATAGATAGTCCAGATGCCTAAATTCGAAGATTATGAAAAATTATAATAATAATCCTACACTTATGGATAAAACACGTGGGACCTACTTGTGTTCCCGCGGCTATGGCAAAACCGCTCCCAAATAAAAATATATATCCCAGAGGAACCTTTTTTTCGGCAGTTTTCCAGTCGAGTAAAGGTTTCTTAGTTCCGCGCTTCCATGGATGAATGGGGATGAGGAATAAAAGCATGCAGGCAATTAAGACAGGAACCGTATTGGAAATATTTTTCCTAAAAATCATGATTAACAGTTAAATGTAGTAAATGCCAGAGGAAGAAAGATAAAAAGAATAAAAATAACCTATCTGAAGTGAGAATGATCCATCCATCGATAAATCTTGGATCTCGAAAAAACCATGTTAAAATCAGAAGAATATAAATGATTAATATCGTAACTTCGTGATTGCTGAAATGAAAATTTTAAAATTTCATGCTATAAGAATTTCATCCGAGTTTTATCGTCGTCATTAAAACGTTGCAAGTATTTCAATTAGTGTTGTAACGAATAGTACATTCGGCTTCAGGCCGAATACCGAATATTCGGCCGGGAGCGTGGCCGAATAGCCGAATATTCGGCCAAACTATTCGGCTTGATTAATTAACGCATGTACGATAATTGGCGCTCAAACCGCATTATGGCAAGGATCCTGCTCTCTATTGCCCGCTGTCACTACGCTTCGCCAATCGCGTTAATTCTTGACAGTTCAGACAAGACCGTCATGACAGTATGTGATAAATGACGATATCAAATGTGGATAACAACAAATGACCTATACGTGTAAATAATGGAAAAAGAACAGAGAAGGACCGCGAAGTGGAAATGTGAAAATAAATACGAAATTGAGTTGATAACATAATCGAACAAGTCGAGGCAGCTTATTGGCGCGAAATTCGAGGCCGTCAATGCCAAACAATTGTTGTCATAGACTTCGGAAAGCTAAATGCTTGTAACGAAAGTCACTTAGTGTGCACAAGCGAAAGCCTGGGGCCATTCGGACTACCGAGCTGTCTCGAATCTGCGAAATCGTAACTGTGACTTATACCCACGTCCTATCTGTCTCTTTTCTCCGTTATCGCCAGGCTACGAGTCACGTAATTGTAAAATGGCAAACATACGACGGAAAAATGACGAATCGAAAGTATCGTGAGGGCGTATTATGATGTATGCGTAGGCAAACGTGGACTAGAGCGATAAAGGAAAGAGAAAAAGGAGAGCAAAGACGACCGCTTAAAAAGAAGGATAGGCATGGTCAGACCCTCGGATGTGCGACGATTCTCGAATGAATAGGTGTTTACGTGAGCTAATCTTTGTAATTATAAATTGTGAATACAAGTGACTAATATTATTTTTTTTATTTTGTGCCTGTTATAAGTTATAAATAAATATAAACAAACAACACCAACCCTATAACATTGAATCTAAATACCAGAATGATTAATTTACTGTGTTTTTGTTATTTCTTACTCCCTTTTTAGGTATTCGGTATTCGACCGAATACGAAAAATAGGCCGAATAGGTCGAATACCGAATAGTAACCGAATATTCGTTACATCACTAATTTCAATATTTTTTTGTTGTTCTATTGCATTTCAGCAAAGAAGCAAAAAAAAAATATCCAGCAACGAGTTGTTTAACTTTCGCGGCATTTGTTAAAAAGTTCTTTTTAGTAAAATATGTTATATTTTTAACTATTATAAATGACAGAAAGCTTAATTTTGAGGGTAGAGATGGATTTTATAGAAAATTGTAAATGCGAATAACGAGTAAAATCGTCATTAAGTCCGACCCTTATCGAGATATGATACGACCCCCTTTATCTCCTCATTCCCTCGACCTTAAACTCTAAAAGTTAATAACAACAATCCCCCTAATAAACAAACTTCCCCGAACTTCCCTGCAAAATTTCAAATATTTTCGAAAAAAAGCGCGGGAGTTAAGCTTCAAAGAGAGTAACAAAATCGTGCCTCCCTCACACACTAACGTCCATACGTACAGAAATTACCCTCGAATTAATTTGTTGCATTTCTCGACGTTTCCAGGCGTAAAAATTATGGGGGTAAACATTTTTGACCGATCGCCATACTTCCCTTCGTTTTATATGGCAGCCGGGAAAGTAAAAGAACATATAACCTATTTATATATGTATGTGTGTGTTGGCGTATCTCAGAACTTCACGGACCAAAACTTTTGAAATTTGACAGAAACTTTTATATATGGGGCATTAATGCTATTACATTTCAGAGATTATAAGACGAGAAGAGGGGAGATGAAGGGGAAGGGATCATATCTGCATCGGATCGTGTTTACTCTAAACGAGCTTTTAAGTTAGTCTACTATTGAAATGTTCTATTTTTTAAAGGATAAAATTTTATTATATTTCTTCTCATTGTATTTTAATAATTTAAAGATTTTAAACAAAACTTGTTATACCTGATAGTACCCAGTTCTTGATATTTATTTTTAATGACTTTTTTAATGACGGATTTCTCCTCTTCATTTTCCTTCTTACTAAATTAATTATTAAAGAATTTGTAAAATGAAATCCTCTGTAGAAAGTTGCTAGATTTAGTTTAGGGAATTATTTCACTTACCGACATCCAACGACTACCAATTGCAATACGATGAAGACTGCAATTGCGCACAGAATCATTCCTGGTATGTTATAATACATCCAATTAGAGAAGGTTATCGGGTTATGATCGAGGTAAGTACTGCAGCCGGGAAGAAACAAGTGATCATTTTTTATTTTCTATAAAGTTTAGAAGGAAATTCCCAACTTACTCTAACATTCCAACTAGTACCAAATTTCCACCCGTACCGATGATTGTACCGGTTCCTCCACAGGTTGCGGAATAAGCTACACTCAACAACAATGCTTTTCTCAGCAGGTAATATTTTCCGTTTCGAACATTATAACTAATTTTAAAGAAATGTTACTTAATTAAGTGATGTTATTCTTAACAGAATAATATTCGTTCGGGTAATATACAAGTAATAAAATACACAGCATATATTTTCACATTGCTGCAACAACTAATTACCCTGTAGGAACTTATAAAAAAATATGATTAAATTGTCGTATGTAAAACGAAGAATTTGTTATAAAATTAAGATTGGGCAAAAATGAAAAAATCATCAAGATAATTTCTTTGGTAATTTAATAATTTAATTTGTCGGTCGAGAATTTATTTCTATTTTAATACTGCAAACAGTTTCGATGATTAGTCATATTCTTTCATTTCAATTGCGTCATATATTTTTCTGTTTATGAGGTCATAAATGAAAGCTATAAAGTCGTGATAATTTAATTAAAATACTTTATACACTGTAATCATCATTCGACTGATATGCAAGTTGGTTATATTTCAGAAATTGATCAACGCTTTTATCGGCGTTTTGTTCGAGATTGGGAGTAGAATCACTACAATGCATTTACAATTAAATTCCACATTTGGTTATGTTTATCAAGATACAAAACAAGTTAATAACAATAAAATGCTATGAGTGAATCGAGAAATCTGATTGGATGATTAATGAATACGTTAAACCATAGGTGCAGGTAAATTTCTAAAATTCTTTAACATTGTAATCGCGTAACTGTATATTTCCTGGTAAAGCAGCTTTAATACAGCTGGAGAAACTACCCAATGACATATTCAAATTTTCAAATCAAACAGCGTAAGGATAATAAAATACATTTATTATTTCAAATTTTAAATATGCTACAGTTGGATAAACGGGCCAATGATATAGCTCGTTTCATTCGAAACGAGCTATGTCATTGGCCCGTTTATCCAGCTGTAGCTTATTTGAAACTTTAAGTGTATTAAATTTACTATCCGTATACTGTAGTAATAAATTAACGCGAGTTATATGTAAATAAGGAAAATACTAATTATCATTTTATATCATTAGAATGTGAGTTTAATCAAATACCAGTGTTTACGATTATTTTCACAATGACAAAGTGCACACGATAATTTTTTTATACTCTTTTTGCCCTGTGGGCACTAAGAGGGCCTCTTATAGCAGGCCTATTATGGGTTCGGCCAGGCCCACAATGGGGCGACCGGATGGTGAAGGACGGGGTCCGACATATCCGAACAAACCACCCCCGAAAAATTCCTGGGGATTTCCAGGAATTTTTCGGGGGTGGTTTGTTCGGATCTCTATTTAAAAAGTAATTATTGAAAAATACACCTATTCTAAATATCATCACGTTAAATTAGCAATAAAATATGCTAATTTAACGTGATTAATTTTCAGTTTTCTATTTAATAAGAGTTTCAAAACATTATTCTGGAGCCATATAATTCAAATTTATTATTAGTTATTTGTACGAAAATATCAAAAGCTAGAATACAGAACTCTCTGTTCTGCATTTACAGTCATAACGTACTCTAAAATTCTCAACTTCTTTTCTATTTATTATCTTCGGATTATGTTAATGCGATTATAAATAAAATTTCGTAAAAGATCTACACGCGTTAATTACTTCTTAGTTAACTATTTTATAAGTGAAAGTAATATAACATAGAAAAGTGATACCGTAAAACCGGAACAAAAGAATTGCAGATTTATATATTAGCAAAATGTGATAATTAATTAGGTTAAAAACGCAAAAATTTCCAGCTATATTGCGAAAAATATAAATATTTGTTTAGTCTATGCATAAAAATTTAATATAAATTTATATAAAATTTTAGCTTATAAACTTAGATATTTGTTAAGTTAATTTAAAAGATATTTATGTTTACTTTTCCTCCAGAACAGAATTATCTGCTTGTATTTCAAATTTATCCGGCGAGGTTTCTGAAATAATATAAAAATAAATTTCGGTATTTTAATTATTTTTTGAATGTAATATAATATCATTTTTATATCTCTAACATTTAGATATATATAAACAAAATATATGAATTAAGAAACTAAACATTTCTTTCCCGGATAAGTGACGGGCACGAGGGAATTTCTATTGTTTAGATAATTATTTCTCGAGAGCCTAAGCTACACTTTTTACTTTTATTTGTCTGTTGGGATTCCGACGGAAGCCAAATTCGAGTCTTGATCTCTCACGTGTCGTGAAGAGAGTATAAAAATTCAAAATGCGGGAATAATACATCAGAGTAACAGAATTATATCAGGAATTACAGGAATGACAGTAACTAATGAGCGATTTTATTCCTTTCCTATTTCTAGTTTTTAGTAATTCAAAAACCTAAAGATGGGTCAATGGACAAAAATGAGCTTTTGTTTATCTAAGAGGCACTCTCGCTTATCCGGAATTTACAGTTTAAGATATATTGTAATTTTTAAGTATTCCTACCACTTTCTTTTAAATCTTTCTCTAATTCGTCTACGATGGCATCGACTATGGGAACCATCATGGCAGAACACGCTGTATTCATCATCCACATGGATAAAAACATACTTGACACAATGAAGCCTGCTACAAGACTGAAAAATTTTTTATCGTTTACGTATTATTGATAAGAAATTACAATTTAAAATTAGACTCGAGGAATTTAATAATTGTGCGTAGTATGGTTGTATAGAAATTAGTGACAGCGAATTACAAAACTAACAGACTTTAATTATTGTTTATGTACAGTATAAAAGAAAATCTTGAGTATTATTCGAATTAATACGTAACATTTATATTTTCAGATTTTCTTACAGTCTCATACTGGTTCCAATTAATAATAAAATTCTCAACGCTATTCTTCTATGCAGATTGCAATATTCCACAGCTGCAGCCATGATTAAAGAACCTATTGTTAGCACATTTGTATCCTGCAACGAAAAATAGTTTTTAAAAAGAAGAAGAAATGGAGAGCGCTATATCGAGTGCCACTTACGACAAAATATATTTGACCAACTTCCGAGGATTTGAGGATACCCAAAATGGGAAACAGTATCAATGGAAGCGTGGCGGTGACAGGGATGGGTACGGGTTCGAATACAAAATACAATGCCATCCATAATATTACAAATGCGCATTTTGATTCCTTTACCAGAAAACATTAAGAAAATAATCAGTAAATTAGAAAAAAATAAGGTAAAAGTTATGTGTTTAACGATAAAAAATGAATTGTAAAATTTATCTTCTTTCTGTTTGTAGTGACGTTTTTACATAAAATATTTACAAATCATCTTACTAGGTTAAGCAACATTCATTGCGTGATTTTTTATCTGCATGTTTCCAGGAAAATGCTTTCTCTTCCTATTTGCAAATTTACTTAATATTCGAAATATGAAACAACGAATTCGAAAAGAATACAAAAAGAAATTACCTAATAATTTCGTATTTGAAATTTAAATGATGTTGAAAATCATTATACCGCTAGTAATTTTACAACAAATATTTATACAGACAGAAATAAGTACGTTTTGTATATTGATGTGAAATATCCAGCGTAAAGTGAGGCATTCGAGTACACGCAAAGCGGACTATTGATTAATAATACTGTTTTAACATAAATTTCAATTAAATGAAAGACATTAAATTGAATTCGATCAAATAATCAAAGTCGTACTTACTTGCAATTTAATTTACCGAAATAATATTCAAACAGAACATGTTCGATTTAAAAACAAACAATTTAAAGTAATCGATACAATTAAAATATTTAAATATACAGCACACGTCCATAAATACTTTGATTCGCCCCTGAAATCTGGAAACGAATATGCAAATTCCATTAATTTTAATGGAAAAATTATAATGCTTTTTCATCTCGGTTCGAAGATGTCCGGTTTCCACCAGATAGAAAAATTTATTAATGGAGAACAATGAAAAGAAGTTTACACGAGTAATAAACAACAATTTGAAATTAAATAAATACAATTTGAACCTGAAGATATAATGTATGGGTTTTTTTAAACTTACCATAGGAGATTAGAAGATTTAATAATATTATGGGGAGTGGTTATGATAAAGGAAAACGTGAAAGTCATTCTTTAGACCAGGGGTGTCCAACCCGCGACCCAAGGGAAGTTCGAATGCGGCCCAATAAACGTGTACACAAAACCAAAAATTTTTTAATTAATTAATTAATTTATTTATTTCAACAGCATCAACTCAAAAAAGAAGTTTCACAAAGCCGTAAACCTTTATACATATTTTAATTTTTAGTGGAAAAGAAATATTTTCAAATACTTAGAAATGTGTGAATGAGGAAGGTATACTAAATAAAGCTGGAGTTGGCTCTCAAAGGAGTATAGACTCAAATTCAGGGGAAAGGAGAAAAAGACCTAAAGATAAAAAGTAATGAGAAAGGTTAAATAGACCTCCTGTTATGTAATATGGATCCTTAATTTTCCAACCTTTCTCACATCTTTATCTTTTGTCCTCTTTCTCCTTTCCCCGCATTTGAGTCTATAATTCTTTGAGTCTCAACTCCAGCTTTATATACTATTCCTTCCAGCGTTGCAAGATTCGGCTACTTTGCGCCAAATTTGGCTACCCTTTTATTAGTTTGATGTAAAAAATATCAGTTGGCACATTGGCTACTTTTTGGGCTACATATTATTTATAAATATATTAGTTGAATAAAAATGCACTTTAAAATGGTGCTTTGTACTGTACAAACAAATATTTGTGTTTTTCAAATAAATTTTCGTTTGACTCTTTTATAATAAATTAATTCATTTATTTCTGAGTAAAAATTGAAAGTGTCTGTAAAAGTAATTTTTAAAAATATTCTTTTTTTGTGTTAAACTTTTAATACTTATTACTATAATCTAGACATGTTATACTAGTATATTTAAGGATCGGGTCAAAATATACTTGTGGCCCGAAACTCCATGACTTCTTCTAATGTGGCCCAGAGAAACAGAAAGGTTGGACACCCCTGCTTTAGACCATCGTGTAGTCAAGTGATACCTTCCGATTCCACGTGTAAATCAGATGTGTTCGATGATAAGTTTATTTTTCCTGATATTTTCACGCTAAAATTTTTGATGTGAAAGACTAATAGGGCCCTCCGGTGGCCAAGCGGTCTTGTATTCTGAACACTGTGAATTCGGCGCGGGTTCGCGCCTCGCTCGAACGGGCTGGCCACGTGGAGTTATCCGGATTTTCTCCACGTCCGTAACGCCTAAATAGGGGCCAGTTTCTCTTCAAAGACCTCCGGAAGGCATCCCCCTAGGCAAATCGTCCAAGTGTTGCGTTGCCATAACTTAATAAACAAACAGAAAGACTGATATTACATCCGTTGAATTGGAAATACTAGGTTAAAGAAATCCGAGATAAAACTGCTTGCTTTCTTTTAGTTTACGTTCGTACTTGTTTTTTACTCTTTTCCCCTGTGTTCGATAGGAAAGCCTTTAACGGGATTCATTGTGGGTTTGCCTATGCCCACAAGGAGGCTGAAAAATCCGGCAAATCTCTTCAAATCAATAGGATGACACCTTAAACGCTCGTTCATTCGTACGTCTTCTTGAAGGATACCAAAGCATATATGATAGCAATTTCAATGGACGGTCGTTATAGCGAAAAGTCGTTAAGTAAGCATTCGTTAAGCGAAGGATAGTGTATTTTTAGGCAACGATCTTAACAAATTCATATTGTAATAGGCTATTGGAAATTTGAAAGATGTCATCACTCATCAGGAAAGTATTTAGCGATCCGCAAAAGACAAAATATAATTTAAATAATTAGTCTAATAATTATTTCCATAGTTATTTAAATTATCTCTTTTCTTTTGTAATTTTGTAAGGTAGGATAAATTGTAATTTAAATAATAATTTTCATAATTATTTTAATTGTAATTATCCTTATCTTGATGAAAATAATTAGACACATTTCCTTATGTAACAATTCGTGAAAGTTAAAATTTTAAGATGGTTTTTATATAATGCATACAAGTCTAAACTTAGGACGAATCGTCGAAAAATACATTTTTGAATGATGATAGTTAATAACATTAAATTAAGAAAACATTCGTAATAACATCGACGGTCCTCTGCACAATATGCAATATTTTACGCTCGAAAGCTTCGATAAACATTATTATCTGGTTGACCATTGGTCGATATAAACTCGACTCCGCCTATTTTTATTTATTCAATAAATCTTGAAATTTCAGCTTTAAAACCGGATTTCGTAGAATAAATTTTGGATCTGTTCGTTTGCCCGAAATAGCTCACATTTCTACGTCATTTTTTCGATGAGAAATCCTAAAGAATGACGTCAAATTGACGTAAAAGTATGCGCCGTCTCAAACATTTGAACAGGTTTTCGGCTGCTATTTATAAGTACTAAAATTGACTTCGTTGTAGATTAAAATTAGGATTTTATACACAACGAGTTGATAACACAATCGGTTAACAGATAGAAACTTTTCAATTATAAACCAAAGTTAAAGTCTAAATTATCAGCTGTTAGGTTATCGGATATTATAAACCGATGAAATTTAAAGGAATTTCCGGCAGGAGTCACGCAAACGTACAGTTTTTCTCCGCTCATCACCACAATACACGTGTATAGTACGTATGACCTTGTACACTGTTTAAATAATTTAAATAATCAATCCGTAATATAGAGAGTTTTTAATACATTTACAAAGTAACGACCCAATCGACGGTTGTTAATTAATGATGAATAGACTTTGGATTCTTTTGATATTTTTACATTTTAAATTAATACAGTTATATTTTGATAGATAAATAAATATTTCGATTAATTTCTTTAAATATTGACTATAACTGTAATGACGTAACTCGCACTACTGTTGCCGCCAGTTTACTAAAAAATTCCTTAAATTTTTGACTTTATATTCGCTCTAGCAGAGTCATTTTCGTTGGAATAACCTAAAAATTTAAGTTTAAAAATATTTATCTAATCAGATAACTCCGTGTTAGCCTATATAAAAATTATTGTAATAAAGTTTACTTAATTTTCAACAGAGGATAGAATATTAAAAAATTAATTAAATTAATTAAGTAATATATAAATAAATAATATAAAGTATATTAGTTAAAGGGGTACTTATAGACACTAATTGCGTGTCTTACCTGAGTTCCTACGTATAATATTAATGGTAGAAGTAAAAGGGGTACAGCTACGGAAAATATTAATTTCCAATAATCTTTGACGATTCGAAATATTTTCACAAGCAACATATCGTTTGTCTGTTTCGCATTCTTCTGTTAACGATGTCTACAAAGCGAAATCCTTCGTGTTAAGTGACGAGGAACGATGTCGCGTCTACTCTAAACCTATACGACTAACCGTTTATCTTCGGTTCTCGATATTTTTTCTTGTTAAATTCTTAATTATTATATGTGTTTTTACAAAAATAGTATGAAACAATTTCGATAGTTTAATTTATTCCCAACAATAATTTTAATTTAGTTATATTCTAGTTTACGTAACGCCATTTAAACACCCGAATCACGTGGTGAGATTACAACTAAGCTCCGGATATTCTAAAGTTTCACCAAAAGACGGATTAAGGATAAATGTTTAAATGAATTTCGAATAGAATTACTTTGCTTTTTCCATGACGAAAGAAGTGTTTACAACTTTTCTTCTATGACGTTATAACTTTGTATTTAATTGAAATGATTATCGTTGGATATACGCAATCTTATCGTTTCCATTCAGTTCATTCGAGCGCAATACGCGATAATGATAACAACGGGTGTTGATTTTAAACACATTCTTCTTTACTAAATTTTCTTTCATAAAAATGTCGCTAATCTTCACCAGAGGACGCCAATCTTGCATACGTTTCTCTATATTAAAACACATAATTTTACAAATAAAACACAGAAAACCTGCCGTATGGTTTTTCAAACGTTACTAAAGTGGTTATTAATTACGTAAAAATTGATGAAAAATGTTCAAAACAACCAAGTCTTTCTATAATTGCGCTGTTTATACCAGTGGCGTGCCATCATTAGAAGCGTTGGAAGCGCCGCTTCCCTCGTATTTTATAAAAAAATAAATACATATTAATTTTAATTATATGAAAATAATCGCACAATATTTTATTATAACCACATTATGTATCTTATTACAAATTTCTATACTACACGTGAAAAAAAATAAGATCGCTATTGTATATTCGAATATTAGTACGGTGACCATATTTTTTTGGGGAAAATAAAGGACATATCGAAGAAAATTAAAAAATCTTATAAAATTCATAAGTTTATAAGATTTATTACACATACATACACATTGTAAAAATTCAAATAACATTAATTTTGATACTTTTCAGTAAAATTAATTTTTGTTTTAATAGCACTGGTTCACGCTTTAAAACGTCATAAAATTCTATACAGTTTATTTGAAAGTTGTATTTGACAGAAATAATGCGCTTACTTTTAACTGGGTTTTTTCATTCGTCCACATATTATTCACCAATGAAAATATTCGTTCGACAATGCATTAGATCCAGGGAGACAAAGAAAATTCTACGATTTTACAAATGTTTTTGAAAGCAATTTTTTGCTGTAAAATGTTCAAAAATCTCAACCCACTTTTGATGGCAGGGCTTGTTATTCTGTCGCCATTCGTCGATCTTTTCGTTTGTGACATATTTTTTTACACA